CTGAATGAACAGGAGGCAGCGGGGAAGGCCCGTGCATGACTCAGACGGATGGAGGAGATTTCCATCATTTCCCTCGGAAGGTCATTTCTGAAGCTCAATTCTGAAGCTCAATTCTGAAGCTCGATTCTCAAGCTCAATTCCGAAGCTCAATTCTGAAGCTCAATTCCGAAGCTCAATTCTGAAGCCCAATTCTCCAGCTAGCTTTTGTGACAACATGCTATTGCCTCGACTGTTTGGTGATAAGAACTGAAAAAGAAGGAAAAGCGGCTGCAGACACGGCCAGTGTTGGTGTCAAAAGACCGATAATTATAATGTGATTGGGTAATGCATTCATTCAGTCATCCATTCAATCATACAGTCGCAAAAAAAATCAACTCATAATAAAAAGTAAACCATGACGTCGGAGCAAGAACGTGCCTTTCTTTAAAAGAGCCTTGAGACTATGGGCTGGAGGGATCAGGAAGGGGTGGAGTGATTGCCAATCACAGCGCGCACCGGACTCCCACTCGCAACCACCAGCCAATCAGAGCAGAGGCAGAGACAGCGAGACCCAAGAGAAGAGAAAGAAGAGCGTGAGAGGGAGAGATTGAACGAGAATTTCTTCCCGTTCTCCCCCCCTGCGCCCCTCCCCCCTCCCCTGAACCCCTCTGCCTGCTGCGCTCTGATGATTGGACAGGAGGCAGAGGAGACGACCATGCATGCTCAGATATCACAGAAGCCTCATCATCTCCCTCTTCAACCCGAATCTCGTTATAAGGACGCACTGCGCGCCGTAGAGGGAAAGGAGTGGAGCGACATGGAAAAGAGCGGCAAAGAGTGAACGGCACTATTGCTGGAAAGAGTCTTGAATAATCCACGAGAGAGTGAAAGAGAGGGATCAGAAGAGGGTTTTGATATCAGAGCACGTGCGGTTTGTCTGCCGCCATCAGCCAATCAATCACAGGACACCCCACCCGTACAGGTAGAGCGCACTGCGAAAGAAAGACACAGCAGTCTTCCTGGAAAACCTTGGTCTATCAAGCACGCGAGATAGAGAGGGATCAGAAGAGGGTTTTGAAATCAGAGCACACGTGATTTGTCTGCCGCCATCAGCCAATCAATCACAGGATACCCCACCCCTAAAGGTAGAGCGTACTGCGAAAGACGTCCCCCAAGAAGGGAACCGCCGGGAGGCACGAGCAAGGCGCACGGCTGAGTCAGACCTTTTACTGCACCATCACCTCCCCCTCATCGGCGAGCAAGCGTCGCTTGTCTCGGTCGCAAGGAACGCGAGTATTGCCCCAGTGAAATAGGCCAGGCCAAGGCACGCCTTGCCTCAGTGAAATAGGCCAAGCCAAGGCACGCCTTGCCTCAGTGAAATAGGCCAAGCCAAGGCAATTAAATAGGTCAAGGTACGCTCTGTCTCAAAGTAGGTAGATGCCCCATACATACATGCATCCATCCACAAACACATTCTGATGAAGCATCCCGTAGATCCAAACTCGGTACGTAGGTACGGTGCACAAAAGTGACTTAGAAGGAGATTACAAATTGACACGTTCCATTGAATAACACGGATATACCCGAGGCATAATTACCTAGATCGGGTGGGCTGAAGGCAGGAGGCATGAACGATTCTTGGGCATTTCGTACGTCCTCCTGCGAACAGTAGAACTTTAGTTTGGTTAGGCGCAGAACACATTGAGCTGGTTTTGGTTTCAGAAATACGGCTACGATCGCTCTGTCGCATACAAACTGATCCGCATACCGCTCAGTACAAGATCGGACCTGAAATGCACGCCCCACGAACCGTACCTGAAATGCCATGGCTCGCTCCTGAAGCAGCAGCTGAGTTGCGCCAAGCAGATGAGTTGCGCCGATCAGCTGAGTTGCGCCGAGCAGATGAGTTGCGCCGAGCAGCTGAGTTGCGCCGAGCAGCTGAGTTGCGCCGATCAGCTGAGTTGCGCCGAGCAGCTGAGTTGCGCCGATCAGCTGAGTTGCGCCGATCAGCTGAGTTGCGCCGAGAAGATGAGCCGCATCCTCGTGCTCGTTATTCGTGAGCCGTCTTGAGAATGTCGAGCACCTGAGCTGTCTCCTTCAGCTTGCCTGCGCCGAGCAGATGAGATGCGCCGAGCAGATGAGCCGCATCCTCGTGCTCGCTATTCGTCAGCCGTCTTGAGAATGCCGAGCAGCTGAGCCATCTTCTTCGGTTTGCTATCCGTGAGACGCCTCGAGCCTGCGGAGCAACTGACCGACCCCTTGGGACCTCTTTTCTTGAAACGCCTTGAAGTTGCCGAGCTGCTGAGTTATCTCCGTCAGCTCCGATCTGCCACGTAGCTAGTCGTCGCATCAACCGTACGACTATTTACGACCGTGCGGAGTGCGTCGTGCCACGCGGAACGGAATCAATTGTTAGTCCCGCAACGTGGCTCCCACGTGTTCCGGTTCAACCTGGTCAGTCCGAACCCTGGTCAAAGATTCCAGCTGAAGTTCCAGTGGCAACGAACTTTTTCAGGCAGATCTGCGATGATGCAGAATGTAGGAAAAGGGATTTAACAACGCTTACGAAACGGTAATGCGGCAGTACGAAGCCCCCAGGTGCTGGTCGTACGATGGTCAGCGATGTGTACAGCAGGCCAAAGTTACGCAAACCCTCCCAACCACCACTCCCACTGCCAGTGGGCCGTGAAAATGGCATCTGAGAAAGCAAAAAAAAAAAAACGCATTGAATGTCACTCTCGATCTAGCTACGCAGCGAGATTACGCCCTCTACGGCCATTTGCATAGCGTGTACTACAAACTTGGCAACAAACTAGACTAGAGGACCGGAGCCAAAAGGAAGAACTACTATGCAGACAATGCTGGTCGAAATTGAGCAGAGTTTCTTGCTTTATTGCAGAACCTAGGGAAGTGAGATCTAGATGTTCGCAGGGATCAACGTCAATACTTGCGCTCTCGGAACGATTGATTTGATATAAAGATCGGCTGGGTAGGTTTTAGAGCGATGATGAACTTCTGGGACATGCCTTGCATCATCGAGGGATGTTGGTTGGTTGCTGCTTGGGATGGCATGAAATGGGAGGGGGGAGGGTTTTGCGAAGAGTTAGCAGCGATTGTTTGACTTACCGCGTTCTAATTGGACAGTCAATAATGCACAATTGATTTCGCCAGGTGGCGAGGTCGAGCGAAAGCTCAATGTGTTGAGTTACAGAGCGAGTATTACTGTTGGCTCACCACCGTATTCGCAATGGTTTCGTGTATAGACGTTACCTTTCGCGCAACGATGTCGACAACTGCGATGGCGAGGTGACCCTCAAATAAGGGCGTGTAAAATTGTAACGCCCAAACCAAATGGTCGATCATATGCTCGTTTCAGGCGAGTGCGAAATCTGTAACGCGAAAGCGAACCCCGCCACAGGATTCGTCAGCTTATAGGGCACCCACCCCAAACCATCCCCTAAATGAAAAGTGAAAGTTTTGATTTCCTCTACTACATTCGAACTGGGTATGGAATACGGGGAATCTGAAGCCTAAACAATGGTGTTTAACAAAGCAGCGGGTTTAGGTACACATAAATATTTTCTCCCCGTCAGTCTAGGAATTCCCCAAAATGCGATTCGTACATTTCTATGCGGAAAATACCTTAGCAATTCTGCCAATTCGGGGTGAGTACTCGAATTGGCGTAACCCTAAATACCTCGCAATCGCCAGAAGCGCCCAGATGTGCGACCATATCGTTTGGTCGTTACAATTTTACACGCCCTAATCAATCATTGGGTGAATGGCAACTGCAAACTCCTGACAAGCGGAACCGCTTTAATGTTGATTTAAACCAGAGTGCAGCGCGCAAAACAAAGGAGAAACCGAGGTTCGATGAGCGAAACCGCGCAAACCTTACCATAAACCGACTTGCACCACACGCAATCAGGGAAGTAGTTTCACCCTCTACGCAGTGCGCCACCTCTGCGGAACCTGCTCAGCTGTTCTGATATTCAGTCTCCTAAAGCAATGTTCGTGGTGGGAATGAGCCGCTCATTTCCACACCACCTACTTACCGCGGCTTTCCCGCCGTGATTCACGCGCCTGTGTACCACGCTTCCCTGGCCTGTGGAATAGTTCGAGCTGAATTTCAACACAGTGCTGCTGGCAGCGCCAGCAATCCGCGCCTGGTAACATCCTTACAGTTCGCCGTCGGTTTCGCTGTCTCCTCGCCAAATGTCGCGTCCCGCGGGTTACAAGGGTTCGGGTCAGCTTCACGAAAGAAAGCATTCGCCAGTAGCCTCGTCGTCCCCGTCCCCGTTCGTCCCAAACAGCAGTGGTAGCAACCCTCGCAACTTACCTTCCTCCAATCTTAGTAACCCACGCAGCGTCTTACAGACTCACCACGCCTATTACTCCTCGTCGCCACCCGATCACGACGACTCTGACGACGCTCGCGAAACGTCGGGTGCGAGAGCGTTCGGTTTCGCTTCGGGTGCCGTTTTGTCGTCGCGCGCGCGCGCGACAGTCGCAGCAGTAGCAGGGCATCTGCAGCGCGTGCGGGCGACCGTCGCCGTGCGATTATCGCGGCTTTCACGCGACCAGGCAGGTGCACTTATACTCGTAGAAAAAGAGGGCTGAATGTGCCCTCTAGATTCCGTTTATTCTACTTCCTACATTGCATTCCTATTTGATTCCGCTCCCTGCACTTTATAGCTTTTTTTTTGTTGTTTTTTTTTTCCTAACTCCTAGATTCCCCTTCTTGGTATTTCACTCCCTAGAGTATATTTCAACCATGCTTTCACAGGTCTTACCCCAGCCTTTCCCCCTCCCATGCATCCCCGTTACAGGTGGACGCGATAACAGTCCTAACAGCGGGCCTAGTGGCACTGGCGCTATGGGCGGCACTGTGGTTGCAAGACGAAGTGCAGTTGCTAGCAGCACCGCAGGGCACATGCCCCTCGCTCCCGGATTTTCCCCCAGAGGAAGCAGATGTTTTAGGGAGGGTTCCGCAGTATGGGAAGTTTGACCTAAGCGCGCCTATGGTGGGGAAATATCTAAAGCTTATACATAAGTACCTGGAGCCCTGGCAACCTATACCGGTGAGGCTTGTAAGGAGTATGGTGGGGAAATATCCAAACTTTTAGCTAAGTGTGCAGATGGAAGGTAAATGCTCAGGTTGTTACTTCATAGTACCTGGAGGAGCCATGGCAGCCCATACCAACTCTCCCATCCCATCCCATCCCATCCCATCCCATCCCATCCCATCCCATCCCATCCCATCCCATCCCATCCCATCCCATCCCAACCCATCCCATTCCGGTACGGGAAAATGTTATGCCAATCCATTCCAACATTCATCCCCATCCCATGTCATCCCAACCCAGGGGATTAAATCTGGTTTGGGCCATACTGGCTTCGTCACTCCCGAGGCTCTCTACTGCTTGGCTTCCAGGGAAATGATATCCCAATCCATTCACCCATCCCATCCCATCCCATCCCATCCCATGTCATCCCAACCCAGGGGATTAAATCTGGTTTGGGCCATACTGGCTTCGTCACTCCCGAGGCTCTCTACTGCTTGGCTTCCAGGGAAATGATATCCCAATCCATTCACCCATCCCATCCCATCCCATCCCATCCCATGTCATCCCAACCCAGGGGATTGAGTCTGGTTTGGGCCATACCGGCTTCGTCACTCCCGAGGCTCTCTACCGCTTGGCTCGGCAGCCGTCTGTCATGTCATGTTCCGGCCATGTCAAGGTGCGTTAAGGTTTGGCTTGAATCACCTTTGATTTGAGGCTTGATTTAAGCATGCTTGGCTCGGCAGCCGTCTGTCATGTCGTGTTCCGGCCATGTCAAGGTGCATTAGCGTTTGGCTTGAATTACCTTTGATTTGAGGCTTGTTTTAAGCATGCTTAGCACAGCAGCCGTCTGTCATCTCGTGTTCCGGCCACGTCAAGGTGCGCTGCATGTTTGTGCTTGAATCACTTTTGAGTATTCTTAACATTGATTCAATAACTCTTGGCTCAGCAGCCGCCTATCATCATGATAGTATCATGTCATGTTCCGGCCATATCAATGTGCATTACATTTTCGTGGCACCACTTGTGTGTGGCCCTCTTGTTCTCATGCGTCACAAAGAAATAGCATTGTGCCCAGCAACAGTGCGCTCATCTTTGCTCATCTTTGCTCATCTTTGCTCGTGTTTGCTCATCTTTGCTCGTGTTTGCTCATCTTTGCTCGTGTTTGCTCAACTTTGCTCGTGTTTGCTCATCTTTGCTCGTGTTTGCTCATCTTTGCTCGTGTTTGCTCATCTTTGCTCGTGTTTGCTCATCTTTGCTCGTGTTTGCTCATCTTTGCTCGTGTTTGCTCATCTTTGCTCGTGTTTGCTCATCTTTGCTCGTGTTTGCTCATCTTTGCTCGTGTTTGCTCATCTTTGCTCGTGTTTGCTCATCTTTGCTCGTGTTTGCTCATCTTTGCTCGTGTTTGCTCATCTTTGCTCGTGTTTGCTCATCTTTGCTCATCTTTGCTCGTGTTTGCTCATCTTTGCTCATCTTTGCTCATCTTTGCTCATCTTTGCTCATCTTTGCTCATCTTTGCTCATCTTTGCTCATCTTTGCTCATCTTTGCTCGTGTTTGCTCATCTTTGCTCGTGTTTGCTCATCTTTGCTCGTGTTTGCTCATCTTTGCTCGTGTTTGCTCATCTTTGCTCGTGTTTGCTCATCTTTGCTCGTGTTTGCTCATCTTTGCTCGTGTTTGCTCATCTTTGCTCGTGTTTGCTCATCTTTGCTCGTGTTTGCTCATCTTTGCTCATCTTTGCTCATCTTTGCTCATCTTTGCTCGTGTTTGCTCATCTTTGCTCATCTTTGCTCATCTTTGCTCGTGTTTGCTCATCTTTGCTCGTGTTTGCTCATCTTTGCTCGTGTTTGTCCTCCTCTCTCACACAGGTGATCAACGGGAAGGTGTTCTTCCGGTACGGTGGCTTCTGGCACGTCTACTACCGCCTCAACCGCTTTCTACAAACAGTCAAGATGATTCAGGTGAGGTTAGTAGAAGTGTGTTTGAGAAAGATGCAAGGTGAGGTGAGTCAGGGGCTGGCATGTGAAACGAATGAAAGGCTTCTGGCCCGTGTACTACCGCGTCAACTAACCACTTCTTGCAAACAGTCAAGATGATTCAAGTGAGATGTGATAGTGGTGTCAGGCACGCACAATAATGTAAGTAGGTCAGGAGGTGACAAGTAGAACAACTGAAAGGCTTCTGGCACGTCTACTACCGCGTCAACCGCTTTCTGCAGACTGTCAAGATGATTCAGGAGAGCTGAGTAGAGACGATTTTTTTAGTTGGATTCAGGTCAAGAGGTGACAGCTGAATTGATTGAACTACCGCCTCAACCGCTTCTTGCTGCAGACAGTGAAGACGATTCAGTTGAGTCAAGTGAATCAAGTCGATTCAAGTGAGTTGAGTTTTGACAATATGTTTTGAGCCAAGGGGCAACATTGAAAGGCCGCTGGCAACTCGTGCGACCGCCCGCTCACAGCCCTTCTCCTCCCTGCCTTCTTTGCTTCCCCTGTTTCTCCTTTATTTCTTCTCATTTCTTGCAGGACGCTATAGACGTGTACGCCTTAACAACAGACCTCCGACTAGAGATGATGGTCAACACGTGCAACCACCCGCAGCCGGTCAACAGCAGCCACTGGCCCGACCGCGCTTCTTACCTTCCCCTCTCCTCCCTGTTCCCTTCTTCGTCTACAGGACGCTATAGACGTGTACGGTCTAACAGACCTCCGACTAGAGATGATAGTCAACACGTGCGACCACCCGCAGTCCTTCTACAGCAGCCACTGGGCCGGCCGCGCTGCTTACCCGCCCACCCCTCTCCTCCCTTTCTTCCTTTCTCCCATTCACCTGCATTCCTCCTTGCCCTTTGTTGCAGGATGCAATCGACGTGTACGGCTTGACAGATCTACGGTTAGAGATGATAGTCAACACGTGCGACCACCCGCAGTCGTTCTACAGCAGCCACTGGGCTGACCGTGCTGGTTACCCTGTCATGAGCATGGGGTTCACGGTCGACACCATGGACATACCCATCCCTGACCCGCTCGACCTGACAGAGGATTACACTCCTGATCTGAGCACCCAGGTGTGTGGAGGGAGAGAGAGGCACTCAGGTGTGTGTGGTATGTAAATCACTGGGCTGACCCCACTGGTTACCCTGTCTGTGATGAGCATGGGCTTTACAGTCGACACCATGGACATACCCATCCCTGACCCGCTTGACTTGACAGAGGACTACACGCCTGATCTCAGCACGCAGGTACGTTGTGTTGTGAGAATGAGAACAGCCAGGAGGACTCAGGTGTGCGTGGTATGTGACCCACTGGGCTGACCGTGCCGGTTGCCCTGTCATGAGCATGGGCTTCACAGTCGATACCATGGACATACCCATCCCTGATCCACTTGATCTGACAGAGGACTACACAGCACTCAGGTGTGTCAATGAGATGAGAGGCACTCAGGTATGTTATTTAAGCCATGTGTCACCCTCCTTCCCCCCCCTCTCCTCATGCTGGTTACCGTATGAAGACATTGGCTTCACGGGTGACCTGATCTGCACGGATGGAAGCTCACATGCACAGACGCATGCGTGCATAGAATGAACCCCCATTCGTGTGGTGTGGCGTTTGAGTCGACTCATGCGCCGCATTCACCCCCTGTCCGTCCCTAACACCCTCTCAATCGCCAGGTACCGTGGGAAATCAAGGAAGCAAGAGCAGTGTTCATAGGCAATACGACCAACTTTGACAGGCTGGACGGCAACTGGGGCGCCAGCCAACCCCCTTGCTTCTCTGCACCTCTCTTGTACACCACACCAGGTTCCTTGGGAAAGATGGAGGCCCGGGCAGTGTTCCGAGGGAAAAAGACCAACTTTGCCATGCTGGACGGCAACTGGGGCGCCAACCCGCGCGTGCGGCTACTGAGCCAGCTTCCACCCCCAAACCCGCATCTCTGCACCAATGTTGTACACCAGGTCCCTTGGGAAAGGAAAGAAGCGCGAGCAGTGTTCCGCGGAAAGACCACCAACTTTGACATGCTGGACGGCAACTGGGGCGCCAACCCGCGCGTGCGGCTGCACCGGCTGTCAGATGTGCACTCGGCGCTGATGGAGGCTCACATCAACGCGTGGAGCCACGCCAAGCCCGCGGTGATCAAAGCGATGGCGGAAGATGGGCTGTTGCTGGCGAAACGCATGAACTTCACTCAATTCAACGCGTTCAAGTACCAGGTGAGGAGTGGGGGGGAAGAGGGAGAATGCGGTGGAGAGAGGGGGGGAAGAGACGGGGAGAGAGAGAGGGAGAGAGAGGGTGAGACGTGCACGTGGGCTGACACACACCGGCTGTCAGACGTGCACTCTGCGCTGATGGAAGCACACATCAACGCGTTCAAGTGTCAGGTAGGCGGAAGCTGCAGGACATGCGGAGTGCTGAGAGCATCCGCCAGGAGACGCCTGTCGTCCAGTTCTATGAGCCTTCCTCCACCCATGTCCTCTTGCATTCCCCGCTTCCATCAGGTGATCGTTGATGGGGGAGGTGGCAGCTGCAGGACGTGCGGAGTGCTGCGATCCAATCAGCTGAGCATCCGCCAGGAGACTCCCTTGTTTCAGTTCTATGAGCCGCTGCTAGAGGATGGGGTGCACTGGCTGGTTACCACCCGCACGTGAGTAACATAACAGCTGTGCCTGCTGGTAACCCTATGACCACTTACACGTGAGGAACAATGCCTATTGGTAACCCTATATTAGCCATACAGACGCCTCCCTTTCAGTTCTACGAGCCTCTGGCCCTCTGCTTGGGGATGGGGTGCACTGCACTGGCTGGTTACCACTCGCACATGAGTAACAGCTGTGCCTTCTAGTAAGTAACCGTATCAATCAACCATACAGACGCCTCTCTTTCAGTTCTACGAGCCTCTGCTTGAAGATGGGGTGCACTGGCTGGTTACCACTCGCACGTGAGTAACAACTGTACCATCTGGTAACCCTATTACCACACACGCGCCTCTCTTCCAGTTCTTCGAGCCGCTGCTGGAGGATGATGTGCACTGGCTGGTTACCATGTGCACGTGAGTAACAACTATGCGTGCTGGTAACTCTATACAGCCATAGAGACGCCCTCCTATTTGCAGCGAACCATATGGCGCAGTATGCTTGCACATGGAGTGGCAGGCAACAACCCCTCTCCACCACTCTCAACCCCTCTTTAATCCCTTCTTAAATGCAGCGAACCACATGGCGCAGTATGCTTGCACGTGGAGCGGCAGGCAGGCAGGAAGGCTTCTATACTGAGCGCTGTTGGCAGGCCGAGGGGCCATGCGATACAGGGGGCCGATGTGAGACAGCTCAAGAACCCTCTCCACCCCTCTCAATCCCCCTGCAACCCTCGAATTCTCCGATCTCCCTGCCAAGATCCGGTGGGCCTAGGAGAATGACGATGTAGCACAGAGGCTGGTGCATGCAGCGAACAACATGGCACAGTACACTTGCAACCGCTCATACAACCCCCACTACCGCTGTCAACTCCTCCTTAACCCCCGTTATTTACAGATTCTCTGATCTTCCCGCTAAAATTCGGTGGGTCCAAGAGAACGACGATGCAGCACAGAGGCTGGTGCATGCAGCGAATCACATGGCACAGTATGCCTGCACGTGGAGTGGCAGGCAGGCAGGCAGGCAGGCACGCACGCAGGCAGGCAGGCAGGCACGCAGGTGGCTGTACTGGGGGGGTTGTGAGACAGCTCAACCACCCCTCTCCACCCTTCTCTATTCTCCTGCAACCCTCAGATTCTCCGATCTCCCTGCTAAGATACGCTGGGCCCAAGAGAACGACGACGCAGCACAGCGGCTGGTGCATGCAGCGAACCACATGGCGCAGTATGCCTGCACGTGGAGTGGCAGGCGGCTGTACTGGGCGCTGCTGCTCGTCAAGTACCATGACGTCTTGCAGGACCCGTCGGCCATCACTGAGCCTACAGCCAACGAGATCTGCACCAAGCAGTGAGTTCGCACTTGCCTCTTTCCCATGTCTCTTCCCCTGAACAAGGCCGCTGTACTGGGCTCTTCTCTTGGTCAAGTACCATGACGTGCTGCAGCACCCGTCCGCCATCACAGAACCTACTGCCAACGAGATCTGCACCAAGCAGTGAGTGGCGTGGTGCTGGTGTATGTTCGGTCGCTTTAGTTCTTCCGTTCCTGTACTGGGCGCTGCTGCTGGTCAAGTACCACGATGTGCTTCAGGACCCCTCTGCTGGGACTGAACCCACGGCAAATGAAATCTGCACCAAGCAGTGAGTTCCCATCTCCCTCATTTCTCCTCTTTCATTCCCCTCTCTCTGTACTGGGCGCTGCTGCTGGTCAAGCACCACGACGTGCTTCAGGACCCCTCGGCTGTGACAGAACCCACTGCCAACGAGATTTGCACCAAGCAGTGGGTGCTGCCACTCTGTGTTTCCTCGATTTTGTCTCTCGGCTCTCTTCCCGCCCTTCCATCGCTGCTGCTCGTCAAGCACCATGACGTGCTGCAGGACCCCCCTGCCATGACTGAGCCTACAGCCAACGAGATTTGCACCAAGCAGTGAAGTGCTTTCTTCATGCCTCCCTCTACCACCCAAACCCCAAATCCACACCCACTCCCTCCCGGTCGTTATCCCAGGCCCTTTCTCCAGCCCTCCTTCTCCCCTCCCTCCCCCCGTCTTCCTCCCCCCTTTCCCTTGCTGCTTACTGCTTTCATCCCAGGCCCCTTCTCCAGCCCCCTCCCAACGCCACCAACCCTGCTCTGGTGCACTGTGCCGACTCTGCCGCAACCAAGCACCAGCCGGACTCTGCATTTCTCATTCCTCCATCTCCCCTCTCTCCCCCCGTCTTCTCCCTCTTTCCCTCCTCTCACCCTTCGCCTCGTCTATCCCTGCTATTACCCCAAACCCCTGTTGCAACCCCCTCCCAACGCCACCAACCCTGCTCTGGTGCACTGTGCCGACCCCGACGCACCCAAGCACCAGCCGGACTCTGCATTCCCCATGTGTCTGTCTCCCCTCCCCTCTTCCACTCCACCACTGGCGTTTTTCCTTGTTATTGCAGACCACTTCTACAGCCCCCTCCCAACGCCACCAACCAACCCTGCAATGGTGCACTGTCGACCCTGACTCATCCAAGCACCAACCCGACTGCGCACTCTTCATGCCCCCATCTCTCTGCCACCCCTTTCCCCCCACACCTGCTGCTTTTATCCCAGATCCCTCCTACAGCCCCCACCCAACGCCACCAACCCTGCTCTGGTGCACTGTGCCGACCCCGACGCACCCAAGCACCAGCCGGACTCTGCATTCCCTTCATGCCTCCATCTCTCTCCTACCCCCTTTCCCCCCAACCCTGCTGCTTTTATCCCAGACCCCTCATACAGCCCCCGCCCAATGCCACCAACCCTGCTCTGGTTCACTGTGCCGACCCTGACGCACCCAAGCACCAGCCTGACTGCGCATTCTTCATGCCTCTTTCTGCCCTCCCTCCTTCCTTCCTCCTCGCCCCCTCCCCTTGCTCCACCCCACTATTACCGCAGGCCCCTTCTACAGCCCCCACCCAACGCCACCAACCCTGCTCTCGTGCACTGTGCCGACCCCGACGCTCCCAAGCACCAGCCTGACTGCGCATTCTTCTGTGCCAAGGCCACCATTCCCGACTCGGGGCTCATCTGGCTGCGAGCAGACGTGCTGAGAGGGCTCAAGAAGATTGGCCCACCGTGATTGCTTGCTGTGGGATAAAGTCAGATGAAGTTGGGTGGGGGGAGGGGAGAGGGTGGAGAGGGGGGGGGCACGGTCTACATACCACTTTAACTTTACCACTAGCTGGACTGTGCATTGAATGAAATGTGGGTACAAGTACTAACCCTAACTTCGGGTTGTACCCCATATGAGCTACCCCACTATAGCCTACACAAAACTAACACATATATAGATTGTGACAAGACTCTGAAAAGAGTTTGCAATGCAGTCGTGGATCTGTGGGGGTTATGAAAACGAGAGCCATTGAACTCGTCAAATCGCGCCATCCAGAACCGAAGCTCATCCACCGAGCTATCAGATAGGAGAATTCTGTGATTCCAAGTCGGACATTCTGCTATTTGCGTGAGCAGATTATGCGAGAACGCGCGGGCCACGGTGCCGAGCGCGAGCGACATGGATGCGAGCATTCCTGTAATGCGGGCGAGGCGGCGAACCGGGACGAGACGTCCCTGCTGCCCTCTGAGCACGTCAGGCGCATTTCCTCTAGAAGGTGTGCGCGTCGTGTCGAGTCCACGGAGAAAGACAACTAATTGGTGTCCAGGAGCAGGCCGAGGAGTTTGAGGCGTTGTACTGGTTCGAGCTGAGACTTTTTGTATTGTTAATAAATCCAGCATGTCGGAGATCTTGTAGAATGGTGTCCCGAGATTGCAGTGCGCTAGTAAGGGTCTTATTGATTACGAGGATATCATCCACGTAAGGAATTATTCGAATCCCTCGACTTCGCCACCGTTTGGCAAGCAGCTTGATGAGCTGAGTGAACACGAAGGGTGCGGTCGCGAGTCCAAACGGGAGAGAGAGAAACTGATATTCCACGCCTTGGAAAGAGAATCCAAGAAAGCGCCAGAAGCTAGGATGAATGTCGACATGATGGTATCCTGATTTGAGGTCGATTGTGAATAACCAGGCATCCTGCTGAACAAGAATACGATTAAGACCCTCGTATCGGAATTTAGATGTATGTAAAAAACTATTCACGTGCCTCAGGTCGAGGATGAGCCGCTCCTTGGTCGGTTGTACAACCAAGTTCAGAGGACTAGAGCATGTATTTACTGTCCGGGACGAGATAACGCGTGCTGCTCCAGTGGCTACGAGCTCGGCAATTGCCTCTGTCGTGAAAGCGATATGCTAGGCTACGCCAGGGTGGTTGGGTGCACGCCGGGGTGTGGGCTCGTTGTTCACCCATGGTAGCTGGTAACCGCGCGAGATTATGGAAAGTATAAATCTGCTTGTCAGAATCTAGCAGCAGGAATGACGGGCCTGCAGGGGCGGGTAGCGGGCCTGACGGGCCTGCAGGGACGGCTGGCGGCCTGACGGGCCTGTAGGGGCGGCGCTCTGGCCTGACGGGCCTGCAGGGGCGGCGCTCTGGCCTGACGGGCCTGCAGGGGCGGCTCGCGGGCCTGACGGGCCTGCAGGGGCGGCTAACGGGCCTGACGGGCCTGCAGGGGCGGCGCACGGGCCTTACGAGGCTGTAGGGGTGGCGCGCGGGCCTTACGGGCCTGCAGGGGCGGCGCGCTGGCCTAGGGCAGCAGTAGGCAGCGCGAGGGCTGCAGGACGGCGCGCGCAGCGCTGCACGTCACAAGGCAAGGCAGGCAGGCAGGCAGGCGCAGGACAATACGTGGGGTAACGTGGTAACCGCAACGGTAGGTGGGCCCGAAAAAAACGGTCCTACGGACCTAGTGCTCTGAAACCATGTCAGAAGCCTAAGTTGACTTAGGACTTGGGTTGAGGGTAGAACGAGAATTACGAGAGGAAGGGATCGAGAGATTAGCCAAAAAAGAGGGTGTTCACTATAGAGCGAGCAGTTCAAATAGGCAAGAATCAGGAAAGGTGCACCACCAATCAGAAAGTTATATGACTACAGTATTCTACACTACAAGCAGTTATAGAACAATATATAGAATTATATATTATTCTAACACGCCCCCATAAGTGCCTGTAGGGAAGAATATGCAGTCAACGCCCCCATAATGGGGTACACCAGACAGGGTGCAGCGGAAGAAACAGTGGCAGGCAAAAGCAGTGATAACCGGTGCAGAAGTGGCAGAAACAGCTGTAGCCAACCCTCAGCCAAGGAAGAAGCAGTAACAGGTGTAGAAGGCGGCAGGTCGCCTGAGGAGCAGGCTCTGTGGCTGCAACAGGCAGCAGGACAGCAGCGGCTCGACGGCAGCACCTGCAGGCCCAATCAGCAGCAAACAACAAACAGGGCAGGTGGCGACAGGGGCGACAGCTGGAGGTGCCACAGTAGCAGCGGGCGGCAGCAGCAGATACCCGGCTGTGTTCCGCCACCCTCTCTCACCCTCCCCCCCACAGCGGCACGCGCGACAGTGAGAGAGAGAGGAGGAAGGGCGGCTGCTGGCTTGGCAGAATGTCTCTCGCCACCCCCTCACACTCCCCCCCTTCCCCCATAGCGACAGGCGCTGGAGGGAGAGAGAGGAGAGAGGAGGGCGGCGGCTGGTTCCTGCGGGTACACTCCCGCCACCCCTGCACCCTCCCCCCCACAGCGACAGTCGCACATGGGGCGATAAAGGGCGACGGCAGGCGCTGCTGGCGTCTCACAGCGGTCACCCCGTCACGCCACCTCCCCCACTGTCCGCCACCGCCGCCACTTTTCCTCCACTGCCCGCCACCCTCACGACATTCCCACACAGCAGGAGCGCTCGCGGCAGCTGTAGCGGGGCCGGTGGGAGGGAGGGCGGGGACAGTTGCACGGGCGCGACGGGCGGGATAGGGGGCCGGAACGGAGGTGCGACGAAACGGCGACGGGGCAGCGTGGCCGCAAACGACGGGCGGAGCCAGTGCGACGGCCGCCCAGCTCGTCGCCACGACAGCCGCGCCCTTCGTCGCGAATGTCGCGACATTTACAGCAACAAGCGCGCGACTGGTAGGGCGAACGAGCGGGATGACGCAAGCCGCAACGGAGGGTGCCATTACGAAAAAGAAACCACAGGATAGGATCAAAGCATGCTCTGATACCATGTCAGAATCTAGCAGCAGGAATGACGGGCCTGCAGGGACGGCTGGCGGCCTGACGAGCCTGCAGGGGCGGCGCTCTGGCCTGACGGGCCTGTAGGGGCGGCGCTCTGGCCTGACGGGCCTGCAGGGGCGGCGCTCTGGCCTGACGGGCCTGCAGGGGCGGCTCGCGGGCCTGATGGGCCTGCAGGGGCGGCTAACGGGCCTGACGGGCCTGCAGGGGCGGCGCACGGGCCTTACGAGGCTGTAGGGGTGGCGCGCGGGCCTTACGGGCCTGCAGGGGCGGCGCGCTGGCCTAGGGCAGCAGTAGGCAACGCGAGGGCTGCAGGACGGCGCGCGCAGCGCAGCACGTCACAAGGCAAGGCAGGCAGGCAGGTAGGCGCAGGACAATACGTGGGGTAACGTGGTAACCGCAACGGTAGGTGGGCCCGAAAAAAACGGTCCTACGGACCTAGTGCTCTGAAACCATGTCAGAAGCCTAAGTTGACTTAGGACTTGGGTTGAGGGTAGAACGAGAGTTACGAGAGGAAGGGATCGAGAGATTAGCCAAAAAAGAGGGTGTTCACTATAGAGCGAGCAGTACAAATAGGCAAGAATCAGGAAAGGTGCACCACCAATCAGAAAGTTATATGACTACAGTGTTCTACACTACAGGCAGTTATAGAACAATATATAGAATTATATATTATTCTAACACTGCTGTCACACCACGTGGACCACCATGCCGTGCATCCTCGTAATCGGCCGCGCATATGAACTTGGGTTGAGAGTGGTGGTACAGATTGGACCAGCGCGCCTGGGAGATGGGTGGCCGCAGTGAAATGCAAAAACAAATGCATATATCTACCATAGGCCTGGCCTTTTGGGCAAAGGGGGATGCAAAATATGGCAAGCCCCCCTACTCTCTCTCTCTCTCTCTCTCTCTCTCTCTCTCTCTCTCTCTCTCTCTCTCTCTCTCTCTCTCTCTCTCTCTCTCTTTTAATATATATATAGTTTTATAAACTTCAAGCATTAAACATCTTCCATGTCTACAAGCTAAGCAATAAATTTGCAAAGCATTCACGCATTTAAATATGCAAAGGCAGTCGATCAAACGATACGCGCGAGCTGGTTCGCTCCTTGCTCGCACTGGGGGCACTGCGCAAAGCTATGGCCCGGCTCGCGGCAAATGAAGCAACGTCCATCCCCGTCGCGACGCCACTTGTTCCTAGAGCGTTCGCCATTGCCTCGACCACGGTTATTCTGGTTGTACCGTTGGGGGTAGGAGGTGGTACGATCGGGGCGGCTCTTTTTCATCGCCGCCACAATTTGAGCGGCGGACTTTACCGTTTTATCCTCCACCACCTCCCCATATTTAATCTTTAGGGCCACATTAGCCACGTCAAAGTCGCGTTGGTCAGCGGTGAACAGAAACATAATATTTTCCTCGGCCTCTTGTTCAATCTCTTTTAAATAGAGAGCCGCTTGTTCGCTTCCTTCGGAAGGCAAAGCACTCAACGCATGGCGAGCAATTATTTGAATTCTTTCAAAACCAAACATTTGAGTACAAACACCGTCGCTCTTAACGAGAGCAGATCGCAATTGCGGGCGTGCTGGAGGAATAGGAATGAGTGCCGATGACGAGTGAGGGGTGGGGGCGTGCGGAAGAGGGCGAGGGCCGTTACCTTCGTTAATTTCCTCGAAAATGCCACGCTCGCCTTCTTCCTCGTCCGCGGCCGCCTCGGGAGCCTCGACGTGGCGTGTTGCTGGGCGAAGGTTCTCAGGATGAGCCGGCCTCCCGTTGGCGTGGTTGCGCTGGAGCGTCGCCAAAAGCTCGGTCATTTGGTGAAGTGCGTCGACGTTGTGCGCCGGGTTGCTAACATTACGACGCTCCATACGGTCGCTCCGAGAAGGTGTAGCCCGAGCGTTCGCTGCCGATGGAGAAGCGGGGCGTTCCATAATGCGTCTTGCAGGGGCGCCAGACAGTTGCGCCAGAATCTGGAGCAGATTCG